CGGCACCCATTCTGGGTCACCCTGATGCCTCCCTGCCCTACATCTTAGAGGTAGATGTATCAGAGAATGCGATTGGTTCCATTCTTTCCCAACGAAAGGGCGCCAAGGAATTACTCCACCCGGTAGCATTTTTCTCACGGAAACTTACCCCTGCCGAGAAGAATTACGACATTGGCGATCGAGAACTACTGGCTATCAAGACAGCATTAGAGGAATGGAGGTACCTGCTGGAAGGTGCCTCACACCCCATCCTGATATTCACAGACCACAAGAACCTGGAATACCTGAGGACCGCCAAACGTTTACGCCCACGACAAGCGAGATGGGCATTGTTTTTCTCGAGGTTCCATTTCCACATCACGTACAGGCCGTGATCAAAAAACACGAAACCAGACACGTTGTCACGCATGTACGAGGACGCCAAGGAGATCCCAGTACCTGACACTATTCTGCCTGCAGAAAACTTCTTGGCCCTCCAGACGAACCTTCGCTCCAAGATAATGGGAGCATCCACAGCCATGTCTACCTCCGATGGGGCGCCCCTCCAGAACAAGGGGGGACTCCTATGGAGGGAGGACCGGATTGTGGTGCCGGAGGAAGCCCGAACCCTAGTCTTGGGACATTGCCACGACCACCCGATGGCAGGACATTTTGGCCCGGTCAAGACCGTGAAACTTCTCCGACGTTCCTTTTGGTGGCCAGACATGGCCAAGGATTGTAAGAACTACGTGGGCTCCTGTGTCATCTGCCAGAGGAACAAGCCTTCAAGGAATAAGGCTTGGGGTATGCTATGTCCGTTACCCATTCCGGAACGGCCTTGGCAGAAGATCTCTATGGACTTCATAGTCGAGCTTCCACCTTCACTAGACCACACAGCAATTCTCGTGGTCGTGGACCGTTTATCCAAAATGGCCCATTTCATACCATTACGGAAGACTCCATCGGCAGCCGAGACGTCGCAAGTTTTTATTCGAGAGGTTGTAAGACTGCATGGGGTCCCTGAAGACATCGTCTCGGACCGAGGGGTTCAATTTACCTTGAGATTCTGGAGGGCATTGTGCAAAGCCCTGGATATCAAACTATCCCTTTCCTCGGCATTTCACCCTCAGACTAATGGACAGACCGAAAGGACCAATCAGACCCTGGAGCAGTACTTGCGATGTTACACATCATTTACTCAGGATGACTGGGTGCCTCTTCTCCCTTTGGCGGAATTCGCGTACAACAACGCTTGCCATTCAGCAACAGGGCAGTCCCCGTTCTTCTCCAACTATGGGTTTCACCCTGTCTTCCTCCCGGATTTGGTCCCGGAATGCCCAGTTCCAGCAACACAGGATGCACTAACTTTTTTCTCTTCAAACAATAAGAAACTACAGGAAGCCATCAGTCAGGCTCAAGAAGACTACAAGAAGGCTTTTAACAGGAAACGAAGAGGAGATCTGGTGTTGCAACCCGGAGAGAAGGTTTGGCTGGCTACATCTAACTTGAAGATGCTCTGCCCTTCGAAGAAGTTGGGACCTAAATTTATAGGCCCCTTTTGCATTAAGCGGATGGTCAATGAAGTGGCCTATGAACTTGTTCTCCCCTGAGACACTCAAGATCCATCCAGTCTTCCACGTATCCCTGCTGAAGCCGGTAGTCCCAGATGCCTTCCCGGAACGAGAATCCAGGCCCCCGGAGGCCATAACAGTCGAAGAGGAAGAAGAATTTGAGGTGGAAACAATCCTGAAGTGCCGAAGAGGGGGGGGCCAGACCCAATTTCTTATCAAATGGAAGGGCTACGGCCCTGAGGATAATTCTTGGGGACCAGCCCATAATGTCCATGCACCCAGACTTGTCCGGAGGTTTCTTTGTGACCACCCGTGGTGGAGAGATCGGGTGGGCATCCGGAGGTTGCCCGTAGGGGGGGCAATGTCAGGGATCTCCTCGATCCCCGCCGTGATGGTCCCGGCGCAGGCGCAGTGCACCGCCCTGTGCAGGGACACAGGCACTAGTTTCGGGCCGGCCGCGGCGTTCGAGTTCGTGCATGCGCAGTAGAAGCCACGGCCGCCCGCTGGGCACCAATGGCAGCGCAGGGCGGGATATTTAAATGGCCCTGAGCTGTCTTTCAGTGCCTTCTGGTCCTACCTGTATCCTGCGAATCTGAACCTGTTCCTAGTAAGTTGTTTGACCCGGATTGCTTTTGACCTGCTGATTTCTCCTGCCCAGACCCTTGCTTTGCCTGACCTCTCTTCTGAATGCCCCTCATTAGATCTGACCTGCTGTTGCTGACCTGGCGTGTGACCCGACGATTCTTTGCCCGCTCCCTTGTACCATACCGCCCTCTACGTTACCAACTCGGCCCGTCTGACTTCGCACTTGCTCAGCCATCCATCCATCCCATCGGGGTCACCCGACTTCCTCACATCTGGCTCTCCCTTGTTGGAGCCCCTGGCGAACACCCCTACCACTGAGAGGTGTGCTCAGTAGTGGCGACCTGGTCTCGGGTTACTCCAAGTCCATCCCCACCATCAGGGGCTCTGGTGAACAAGTACCCTGGGGCTTAGACTCCGCGCTCTGGGCACGCCTGACCAGCAGAGCGCTAGTGGTGCCGCTAGGCGGTCCCTCACTTCGCACTTGCTCAGCCATCCATCCCATCGGGGTCACCCGACTTCCTCACATCTGGCTCTCCCTTGTTGGAGCCCCTGGCGAACACCCCTGCCACTGAGAGGTGTGCTCAGTAGTGGCGACCTGGTCTCGGGGTACTCCAAGTCCATCCCCACCATCAGGGGCTCTGGTGAACAAGTACCCTGGGGCTTAGACTCCGCGCTCTGGGCACGCCTGACCAGTGGAGTGCTAGTGGTGCCGCTAGGCGGTCCCTCACAGATTGGATCTACGGTAACACCTGGTGTCAGCCCTCCAAAGGTAGGCGGTCCCTGTCGTGCACACACAGCCTGGCCCTTACCCTCCCTGTGTTCCCGTCGCACCCCCCGGACCGGTGTTGCAAGATCAGTTAACCCCGTATAGGTTGCAAGCCAACGATCTCCGCAAGATGGATCTGCGGATTGGGGAGCATAATGGATCAGAGTCCGACTTCAAGCTGTATGAGCAGCTTTAGGCTAGAGCTAAATGGGCAACTTCAGCGACTCTCCCATGCTATGAAAATTGCTAGTAATAAAAGAAGCATTCCAGTTATGTTTATTTTTACATAGTTACACACTGCTCCAGCTTTAACCAATGTAACTATGCATACACTATACCTGGACAATCCACCTGGAGGCTGGAACTCACTGAAGTAGACACCACTACTACAGTGATCTCTAATACCTTTTCGGTCTTGGGCCAAGCAACTTCCCTGCTGCATTGTTAACAAAAGAAGTTGCCTGTTCCACACAGGTGCCATTCAGAGATTGCTTTGCATTTTCTCAATGAATGCAAAGCATTCTCTTATTGGATGAGGCAGGGATGTGACATCATGATCTTAACTTTGTCTAATCAGAGAATGCTTTGCATTCAATGGAAAATGCAAACTGTTCCCTGAAGGGAACCCTTGCCAAGTGAGGGACTTTCTCTGTTCAATAAACAGCAGGGCAGCTGCTTGGCACAGGACCCGAAGGTTGGTGGAGATCACTGTAAAAGGGTATCTACTATAGTGATTTCTAGCTTCCAGGGGCTTGGTCAGGTATTACATATGCATAGTTACATTGGTCCAAGCTGGATCAATGTAACTATGTTAAAATATCCGCACCTGGAATTCTTTAATCACTAAAAGCAGTGATCAGAACAAATGATTCCCTATTGTATAAAGTACACCAGTGGTAGGAATCAGTTTCACACCATTGTAGCTTTGTATACTCCTCTCACAACTGGTCATTTCTTGCCCACGTATTCTGATGATAGCCCATATGTTCTTCATTTGTTATAACGATTGATAATTTCTTGCTCATATATTGTCATGATTGCCATTGTGTTAGCCAGGGCTTTTTTTCTCAGAAAATAGGTGCAGGAACTCAACCACAACCCCCCCCCCCCCAACTCACCCACACACCATCCACAATGCATCAAATAGTGGGTGTGGTCAAATTTTACTTACAGTGGGAGTGTTGTAAATGGTCAATACATACCAAGAATGCATTACCTACAGAGTGGAGAGTTAGGGATGAGTTAGGCACAGAATGCAGAGTTCAGGGATGCACTGCATACAGAGTGCAGAGTTCAGTCTTCTTTCACAGCCGCTTACCTATGCATCTCCCATCCACATCTCACTTTTACCCCTCTTCAGCTCTAAGGGGTGTATTTAGGGGGGTTGCAGAATGTATGCAACCTCCGCCCATCTACACTGCCCACATCTCCCCCCCCCCATCCTTCAAAGCTCCACCATCTTCCACACGTCTTACTTTTGTTGCTGTATTAAACTGAAGCACACAGCCAGCTCTAGTACCTCCCTACACTTTGTAGGAGCCTCCACCTCTCTCACTTGCAGGGAGGTCATCTATAGGGTGTGTAAGCATCTGCACTGCACCCCGAGCACCTGCATTTCCCTTGTCCCCTTCCTGCACTGTTGGGAGATATGCTGTCACTTGTAAACACAGAAGCAGGACTTCTGTGTTTACAAGTGTTGTTGGTGAGCAGAGAGCAAAGGGTCAGAGCCAGAGGTGGTGGAACGGAGTTCCAACAAGTTCCAGCTGAAAAAAATCCCTGGTGTTACCTATTTGTTGCCATCTAATACCAGCAGTACCAGCAGTTTGCCCACATTTATTGCCAACATATTATTGTGATTGCCACTGTGTTACCCACATACTGCTAAGATTGGCTGTGTGTTGCCGGCACACGTGTTATCCCACCTACAGGATATCAAGGTTTACAAAAGTTACAATAATGATGATGACTAGAGATGAGCGAAGTATTCAAAAATTCGATTCGACTGATTCGGCGAATTCGTGAAAAAATTTCGATTCGATGCGAATATATTCGCTGCGAATTTAACTTATAAAAGGGTGTTTCTAGGCTTCAGAGAGCCTTTATATTAGTGCAGAACACTGTACCTTTAATTTAAATGCCCTTGGAGTCTGCTGGGGAAGAGAAATAATACTGTCAGTCAGTATGACATGCAGATGAGTGCCGTCGATCTTAGAATCACCGCACACTTCACTCATTTGGGCAGTCACGGGGCCAAAACCAGAGTGTGGAACCACAGTGTGGCGGTGGAGGCAGCAGCAATGGGAGGCCATACAGCACCCTATGACAAAATGGAACCCACCAGCAGTGTGAGGAGACCTGAAAGTGGCACATGGCAGAGTGTGGCGATGGAGACAGCAGCAATGGGAGGCCGTACAGGGACCCATGAGAGACTGTGGACCTGGCAGCAGCATGAGGAGGCGGTACTGGGGCCCCATGGCAGATTACGGGCCTGGCAGCAGCAATGGGAGGCCCGTAATCTGCCAGCACCCTATGACAAAAAATGGAACACACCAGCAGTGTGAGGAGACCTGAAAGTGGCACATGGCAGAGTGTGGCGATGGAGACAGCAGCAATGGGAGGCCGTACAGGGACCCATGAGAGACTCTGGACCTGGCAGCAGCATGAGGAGGCGGTATAGGGGCCCATGGCAGATTAGGGGCCTGGCAGCAGCTATGGGAGACCCGTAATCTGCCAGCACCCTATGACAAAAAATGGAACACACCAGCAGTGTGAGGAGACCTGAAAGTGGCACATGGCAGAGTGTGGCGATGGAGACAGCAGCAATGGGAGGCCGTACAGGGACCCATGAGAGACTGTGGACCTGGCAGCAGCATGAGGAGGCGGTACAGGGGCCCATGGCAGATTACGGGCCTGGCAGCAGCAATGGGAGGCCCGTAATCTGCCAGCACCCTATGACAAAAAATGGAACACACCAGCAGTGTGAGGAGACCTGAAAGTGGCACATGGCAGAGTGTGGCGATGGAGACAGCAGCAATGGGAGGCGGTTTCAGGGACCCATGAGACACTGTGGACCTGGCAGCAGCATGAGGAGGCGGTACAGGGGCCCATGGCAGATTAAGGCCTGGCAGCAGCATTGGGAGGCCCGTAATCTGCCAGCACCCTATGACAAAATGGAACCCTGGGCTGGGGCAGGCAGAACCGCCGTATCTTTATCACGGTTTTCCCAGGCCACCGAATGGCGACGCTGCATATGCTGACGCAACGCTGTAGTCCCAACATGGGCCCCCTGGCCACGCTTGACTTTCTGGCCACATAGTCGACATACGGCTACGTTTACTTCCTCGGGCAGCTTGACCAAAATTGCCACACCGCCGAGTAGGAAACTTTGCCCCCGCTACTCCTCACTGGCTGACTGCTACTTCCTCCGTGCACACCGGCACCACTACTGGCCGTGGTGGTAGGCTGCAGTGGAGCTGGTGCTCTACTCCGTGGCCGTTTGCCTCCACTGACACTGCTGCGACCCTGCTGCCTCCTGGCAGCAGCAATGGGAGGCCGTACAGGGACCCATGACACACTCTGGACCTGGCAGCAGCATGAAGAGGCGGTACAGGGGCCCATGGCAGATTAGGGGCCTGGCAGCAGCTATGGGAGGCCCGTAATCTGCCAGCACCCTATGACAAAAAATGGAACACACCAGCAGTGTGTGAGGAGACCTGAAAGTGGCACATGGCAGAGTGTGGCGATGGAGACAGCAGCAATGGGAGGCCGTACAGGGACCCATGACACACTCTGGACCTGGCAGCAGCATGAGGAGGCGGTACGGGGGCCCATGGCAGATTACGGGCCTGGCAGCAGCAATGGGAGGCCCGTAATCTGCCAGCACCCTATGACAAAAAATGGAACACACCAGCAGTGTGTGAGGAGACCTGAAAGTGGCACATGGCAGAGTGTGGCGATGGAGACAGCAGCAATGGGAGGCCGTACAGGGACCCATGAGACACTGTGGACCTGGCAGCAGTGTGATGAGGAGGCGGTACAGGGGCCCATGGCAGATTAGGGGCCTGGCAGCAGCAATGGGAGGCCCGTAATCTGCCAGCACCCTATGACAAAATGGAACCCACCAGCAGTGTGAGGAGACCTGAAAGTGGCACATGGCAGAGTGTGGCGATGGAGATAGCAGCAATGGGAGGCCGTACAGGGACCCATGACACACTCTGGACCTGGCAGCAGCATGAGGAGGCGGGGTACAGGGGCCCATGACAGATTACGGGCCTGGCAGCAGCATGAGGAGTCGGTACAGGGGCCCATGGCAGA